CTAACAGGGATACAACAGAGACAGGTCAAAACTCGTGAAAATAAGCAAACAATTCCTCCCTGATAAGAGCAGAAAAGACACATTTTCTCAGCATTAGAGAATATGAAAGCAGCATTAGTTATGTCAGGGTATATGCAGGAATCCTGAAGTCAAATGTAAAACCTTTTAAGACCTTTTTTAAGACACTTTCCATACATTTTAAGACCTCATCGCCACTTGGAGTTTTAACCGGTTACCTTGGCGACACACTTTACCTCACATTGACTATATACAGTATTGATTGTCCTTCCTCCTTATCTTCCAACCATTTGGACGCAGACTTGCATTTCCCCATAACGATGTTGCTTAGCAACCGGCGTAAACGGAGCTTCGCGCGCTATCAAGCAGTGAGCGTGCGATGTCCTGTTCAGATGACGTCAAATCCAACGGGATGCCATAAATAAACTACACAGAATCACACTACACACCTACGCAATGATTACATTCAGGCAGACTGTAGAATACAACCTCTTTGGACAATTTATATACTTATTGAAAACAAGCTACAAAATGTAATACCTTGGAAAATGCCGTTTAATTACGGAAAATATATATGTCTCTCTAATAATTAATTTGTCTTGACTCACATTGCAGTGTGTACATCAGATCTTATTTAATTAGTACACAGTATACACAACTCTGGAGGGATTCCAGTCCGAACTTGCTTTTATCTTGGTAGTCTCGTTTACCCGACAAACCGTTGAACTCGTGAGGTCACCAGACGGGCACAATCTCGTCGTATAGTCCTGTCTCCACAAGCTTTGTTTCCAAAAATTACTAGGGTACAATTGGATCTATACTCTTACGACTCGATTTATTAGGCTTACGTAAACGTCTAGGTAGAATATTAAATTTCCCCCCCATTTTTTTTTTTTGGGGGGGGGGGGCAAATCCGAAAATATTAACGTGAAACATGCCTCTTTATAGTACGTTGGTCTCGTAATATTATCTTATGACAAAAATCTTCTGATGTAACTCCAAAACGTTGTTAGGAATAACAAATATAATGGAAATATAATACTATGAAAAAGGAAAAATACGTAACCAACAACCTCGGACCACAGAATTCTAAAAAGTACCCGGTTTTGATGCGAATGTCCCACAGGACGCCCCAAGAATTCATATTTTCACTTTTTAGTTAATCGCTTTTACTTNTATGAAAGCAACATTAGTTATGTCAGGGTATACAGGACTGTCTCAGAAAATTAGAATATTGTGATTTTTTTTAATTGCATTACAGAAAATAAAGAACTTTATCACAATATTCTAATTTTCTGAGACAGTCCTGTATACCCTGACATAACTAATGTTGCTTTCATATTCTCTAATGCTGAGAAAATGTGTCTTTTCTGCTCTATCAGGGAGGAATTGTTTGCTTATTTTCACGAGTTTTGACCTGTCTCTGTTGTATCCCTGTTAGCCAGAAGCTTACTAATAGCAGGGTTTGCGTGCGCTGCGTCGAGTGTAATCTCCATGTGTCAGCTATCTGTCCCAGTTAGATTAAAGCTGACCGACTGCTAGAATGATCCGTTAAAGCACTGGTTAACCCGCCCTTCTCTCCCTTCTCTCCTCATTGCTCACAATATTAGTCACTGAGCCCATCTTGCAATCAGGTATAGTAACTGGCAGACTGCCCCCAGTGAATGGATGTTTTCATCTCATCACAGTCGTCGTTTTTTTTGTGTTCGTTATTGTTCTTTTATTTAAAACCCAATGTTGGTAGCGGTTACCCTCTGTCTGATGCAAACAACCAGGCTTTTGAAATGGTGTTTAAAAGTAAGAGAATGCTGAAAAAGGACATTTCCACATTATTGAGTGTAAAGATTTTGAAACAAGGGAACCATTACCAACGTTGATTATTTGGATGTTCCCATCCCCCATGTTTTGCATCAGTGTTCCTCTGTTGTATTTTGATGTTCTCCCATTGATTATTTTCTTCCTGTTATTGTTTTGTTTCCTGTATGCCACCCTTCCTGCATGCCAAACACTCAAACATTTTACACTCTAATCCGGCTCTCCTCCCCTCTAAAGCCTCTCCAAGAGTACTGCTGGGAATGTGTCAGAACTACCATAAATACACGAAGCCCAAGCAGATCCGCGTGTGTGTCGGCACCTGGAATGTTAACGGGGGTAAACAGTTTCGCAGCATTGCTTTCCGAAACCAGACGCTCAACGACTGGCTGTTGGATGCTCCAAAGAAAGCAGGCCATCCTGATTTCCAGGGTATGTCTGTGGTTTAATAAAACATACTCACTGGGGATGAATTTACTGTCTGGACATGGTGTTTGATAGGGTTGCTCTTATTTATTAGGTGTAAGAAATAGCTTGACGTTTTGGGTAATACTGGTATTTGCATTCTTGAAAGGATTTTGATGAGAAGAAAGATACCACTCTCTTATCTGTTTGCTAAATACCTCAAATGCTATACAGTATCTTGTTTATTATGTGGTCTTAGTTAACTGGCAAGACTCCATGAAGAGACTGATTAAGACATATCTCTGTTTATACAGTATATTTACTTCAGTATTTGCATTTGCTTGTGAACAATAGGTATGACTTATTTTGATTAAAGCACTATATTGCTCACACAATCTTCATACAATTATATATGATCATCATTTTCTTTACCAGACAGGATGTTGAACATTTTGTGTTTCTTCTCTTTACAGACAGCAAAGCCAACCCCCCAGATATCTTTGCCATAGGCTTTGAGGAAATGGTTGAACTGAATGCTGGAAACATTGTCAGTGCGAGGTATGTATGCAATGATGTAGCCTCAGATAACTGACCTGTCTGCTTTGTGGCTAGTATTCATAACACTAATGCTGTTTTTACTTAAAAAAATTATAAATGAAATGCATGACTTGCATTAAAAAGGATATGGGAGTTCAAATGTGGCCATGATTTATTCAGGTTATTACTCATTAGGATTTTGTAACATCCTTATATTTGAACATATTACATTGTTAATGGTCCCTCTGAGACCCCATTTACACGCATACGAAACGCAAACGAACCGAATACGATATCAAAAAAGTCTTCCGTTCACACGAGACCGCTCGAAAGCGCTGGAGACGCTGTAGTACATATGCCGGGCCTGTAAGTGGCGCTGTACTTCTGCCACAAAATACACCAAAAGCAGCGAAGAAGACACCCCGAGCATGGTTGCCATGGTTGCCCTTCTGTTTATGCCCCGCGGCGGATTTAGCAACATGTAGTACACTGTCTGACCATGTTAGCAGCAGTGAGCAGCCAGAGGTTGGGAGAGGTGGGGCTATGGCTTAGTCGTTGTCAGGGAAATGATCGATATAGGCAGTGGCGTTTTACCACACGGGAGCCGTTTGGCCACCAGAGAGGTTCCGTCCACAGATCTACCCCACCCTTGGACCCGTATCGTTTATCTGCCGTTTCCCTGTCGCGGCCTCGTGTGGCCGAAACCGCCTATAAGAGAGAGAAACTGTAGCGGATACGACTCGCGTTTCGGTTCTTTGTTGGGCTGCAGCCCAGTGAAACACAGTCATTTCACTGAACAGCTATGATAAGAGGCTTACAACTAGGCGTGAGGAACATTCCAAACTCTAGTCTACCAAGGGTGAGGTTGGTGGAAGATAGCAAAAAGATCATACCTCCGACATGGAAACAGGCCAAGCGACCTCAAATTATGCTGAAAAACCATAGGAACTGTGATGTTAGATCAATGGCATGTTGTGCTTTCGACTGAGTTGAAATAATTGTCCAACAGAAGAAGGCAGTTTGTTCACAAAAGGGCTGGCGAAAATGTATTCTGCAGGCAGGACAACGGACCCAAAACCATACGCCAATGTCATTAACGAACTATCTTCAGCATGAAGAAGAACAAAAAGGTCCCGGAAGGTGGTGGTATGGCCTCCACAGAGCCCTAGATCTCACAATCATCGAGTCTGTCTGGGACTACATGAAGAGAACAGAGGGATTTTGAGGAAGCCTATACCACAAAAGATCTGCGGTTGTCTCAAGATGTTTGGAAGCAACCTGACCACACGCTTGCCTAAAAACATTGGAACACTGGTACTTCATACTTTATAATTGATGTTAAAGTACAGAGAAGGAAATGAATATCAATTTTAATATTTGTGATATAAAAATCATATAATATTGATTTGTGATTTGGTCACAATCAATATTAAAATGGAAAAAGGGTCTATTTAGAGTTATGTTTGTGACCACAATCAAATTAAAACTTGGATGATTTGGCAATGTTTGAATCTCTTGGATGGGAAAGATGGGTCCATCACGCATTATACAATAAAGCCACAAATCACAACTTCCATTGGAGCATATTACAGAAAACAAAAGTGGGTCATTTCATGTGCAGGGCAGGAAGAGCCCTCCTGTTGTAGTAATAACAATTAACAAACACAGCCTTCGTTGTCCCAGTCCGTGGCAATTCACACCATGCTCTGAAAAGAAGCCAGGACTGACAGGTTCACACTGTACATCCTCTCCTGCAGTTCCTTAGAGACAGGACACACCGAGAGATTAGTCACACAGCAAGCCAACATCCAGTAATGATCCATAATCACATCAGTGTCTATTTAGTGTTTTTTTATTACACCAGGAGATCATTCCATCATCTGTCTAAAAGGTTCATTCAGGAAATGAAACAGTAACATCTACAGTCATCATTTTAGATGAGAGTTAATTTTAAGGGTCTATCTTCAGGAGTGGTTACTGAACGTCGGAGTGAGGTCATCATATCTGTGCTCAGAAACCCCTCATGTGATAGCTGCAGGACTCATAAAGATACTAGGAGGGGTTTCGTTTTACTAGCCTGTCATGTGAGCTTCTTCCACTCGGGGTTAGTAGTCCACAGTGGAAAGTCTGATAAAAGTGATGTATTCGATGTAATATTATCTGTATACCGTTGATGTAGTGTAAAGTTAATGATTTACATTCAAGATCAACTTTGGAGTAACCCCTGAGGGGAAGTTTGTATTGCGTTTATGAACAACCACACGATATACACAACACCACCTAAAGACAGGCACTAATGAAGGGCAGGCAGAGCCAAGGGGCTTAAACCTGTTCCAGGTTCCTGGGGGCTCGGAGACACCTCTGCAGGTTGCCCAGGAGGCTGGCTGGGGACCTCTCCAGCTTACTCTCCAAATACACTCCACCTTTTTGGTCCGATGCAGGACTTGAACCGGCGACCCTTTGGCTTCTCNGGATCGCTGTGCATTCGTGTGTGGGTTTTTTGAGACTCCCCTGACGCTCACCCGATTCGTACTTGTAATTTTTTCTATCTATAGCCAATCAGATGTCTCCTTCATTCTAAGCCAATCACATGAGCGCGCCCTCACGAGGGTAGATTTCTTGCATTCATGACACTGCATATACGCATTTTGCAATGTCCGGTCAGCTCGCTAAACAGAGGGCCGAGCTTCAGGTGATCATGTAGAGCTGCGTGTCCCCGTCAGACTCAGCAGCTGATCTGATCTCTCTCTCGCGTCCGGTTACACTTCACTCGCGTTTATGTCCATATCGATCAGATCCAGCTCTCCTGATCGGCCTTTATAGAGAGCACCGATCAAACTACTAAGAGTGAATATCGGCCGATATACTGACATGTCCACTTGTTGATGATGGTTGTGGTAGAGGAGCTGTAGATTTTGCACTAACATCTGTAGCATGGTCAGTAGCAGTAGAACTAGCAGTAGCAATAGCAGTAGCTACTGACCATGCTACAGCAGTGAGCAGCAGAGGTGGGGAGAGGTGGGGCTATGGCTTCATTGTTATCAGGAAATGATCGTATAGGGTGTACACACTGAGCCGTTTGCCCCCCCAGAGCGTTCCGTCTGCAGATCGATCCACCTTGGGACCCGTTATCGTTTTAGGGGTCCTTTTCCGCGTTTCCGTTACGGCCTCGTGTGAACGAACGTCCTATACGAAAGAGAAAAGTAGCGGATACAGCCGTTTGCGTTCTCGTGTAAACAGCACCTTACCCACACTATGTTTTTGCCTTGTCTTTCTGTGGTTTCTGCAATATACATTTTTTTTTTTTTTTGTCTTAGCACTACAAACCAGAAACTCTGGGCAGCTGAGCTACAAAAAAACTTATCACGGGACCACAAGTATGTGTTGCTGGCTTCAGAGCAGCTGGTGGGAGTCTGTCTGTTTGTTTTCATCCGCCCACAGCACGCACCCTACATCAGGTAAGAACTGTATACACTCTCATGAGAGAAAATCCCAGTTCTAGGAACAGATATAACCTCATCATTCAATATTTCTTCCAGGGATGTTGCTGTGGATACTGTAAAAACTGGGATGGGCGGGGCTACAGGGAATAAAGGAGGTGTGGCCATCCGCATGCTCTTCCACACCACCAGCATCTGCGTCGTCTGCTCCCACTTTGCTGCTGGCCAGTCACAGGTCAAGGAGAGAAATGACGACTACAATGAGATCACGCGCAGGCTGACTTTCCCCATGGTAATTTTCCTGTCAACAAGTGATTTAAAAGTACATTTTCTCGTAACATTACTAAACCGCATCCGTCTCGTTTTGCCAGGGTCGTCTGCTGTACTCGCATGACTACGTTTTCTGGTGCGGAGACTTCAACTATCGAATCGGCCTGCCCAATGAGGAAGTGAAAGAGCTCATCAAACAGCAGAACTGGGATGCCTTGACAGCTGGGGATCAGTTGTTTGACCAGAAAAATGCTGGTTTGGTATGACCTACTGTTCACCTGCATGCTCACATCACTAATAACTTTCATTTCCTCAGAACAGAAACGTTTGTACCACGGAATTGAGCATTACACATACTAATACAGAAATGTCTTCATTTCATTTCAATCTTTATTTCGAACAGATTAAAAAAAATAAATATAACAAATGTGAAAAACAGAATACCGTATTGTTAAAATACATAATAAATAATAATAAATCATATGTGTCCGAAAGGAAGTAGGAGGAAGCAAATACTTATTAATTCCCACCCCTTACTTGATCAATGATTGTCCTTTCCACAGGTTTTCCGTGGTTTTATCGAGGGCAAGTTAGATTTTGCTCCCACCTATAAGTATGACCTCTTCTCAGAAGACTATGACACCAGTGAGAAGTGCCGCACACCGGCCTGGACCGACCGCATTCTCTGGAAGAGGAGGAAGTGGAACTTTGACAAAACAGGTGCAGAGCCTCTTCAGATATTTCTAAATAATCTCGTACCTATGGGCTCAGAACAGTCTCGTAATACTCACATGCACACAGAAGGATTCAAACTTGTATTTCATGATCCGCAAAAGGATCCACACTTGTGTTTTTCAATGCACACACAAATGTGTTCCGTTTCATATACATGTAAATAAAATCCAAACACAGAAAAAAGTTTTACATATGTATTTTTGATCCACACATATTTGTTTTCCGTTTAAATCCCCTGAACCTGCAAACACAAACCGCTTTCTGTGCATGGACCGCTCTGCATTCGTGTGTGGGTTTTTTGAGACTCCCCTGACGCTCACCCGATTCGTACTTGTAATTTCTCTCATCTATAGCCTGCAAAAGGATTCACACTTGTGTTTTTCAATGCACACACAAATGTGTTCCGTTTCATATACATGTAAATGAAATCCAAAAGTTGTACATATGTGTTTTTGATCCTCACATATTTGTTTTTCGTTTAATCCTCTGAACCTGCAAACACAACCCGCTCTCTGTGCACGGATCGCTGTGCATTCGTGTGTGGGTTTTTTGAGACTCCCCTGACGGTCAGCCGATTCGTACTTTTAATTTATTCTATCTATAGCCAATCAGATGTCTCCTTCATTCTAAGCCAATCACATGAGCGCGCCCCCTCGAGAGTATGATTTATTGCGTTCATGACGCTTCATATACGCATTTTGCGCAGTCCGGTCAGCTCGCTAAACAGAGGGCGGAGCTTCAGGTGATCATGCAGAGCTGCGTGTCTCCGTCAGACTCAGCAGCTGATCTGATCTCTCTCTCGCGTCCGGTTATACTTCACTCGCGTTTATGTCCATATCGATCAGATCCAGCTCTCCTGATCGGCCTTTATAGAGAGCACCGATCAAACTATTTACAGTGAATATCGGCCGATAATGACCGGCGGGGCTCCCCCCGTTGACAGTTCACTGTCTAGCACTGGCTTCGTAGTGCACTGATCGATTAGGCTAAGCTAACCTGTAGCTTCTCCCTCCACACTCACAACAACTTCATACAGACATACATAAAGCAGCTGTATTCGCCATACAGGAAACACACATTTAAAACGGTTTTGCCTGCCGTTTTTGTGTACACACATATTTATATTCATCAATGGTTCGGAAAGTGGCGCTGTACCTTAATAATATAAAGGCTTGCATTTGCGTGCATTTCCTGTTCGGAAAGTGGCAATGTACTGAGAGTGGAGGTGTCCTGTGCGCGCTCATGTGATTGGCTTAGAATTGAGGAGACATCTGATTGGCTATAGATAGAAAAAATTACAAGTACGAATCGGCTGACTATCAGGGGAGTCTCAAAAAACCCACACACGAATGCACAGCGATCCATGCACAGAAAGCGGTTTGTGTTTGAAGGTTCAGAGGTTTTAAACGGAAAACAAATATGTGAGGATCAAAAATACATATGTACAACTTTGTTCTGTATTTGGATTTTATTTACATGTATATGAAACGGAACACATTTGTGTGTGCATTGAAAAACACAAGTGTGGATCCTTTTGCGGATCATGAAATACAAGTTTCAATCCTTCTGTGTGCATGTGTGTATTTTGAGACTGTTCTGAGCCCATACGTACCCTTCTATTTCAGAACTCATGACAACATTTCAACACTGTTAAAAATATGTTTTAGTCATAGTTTTAAATTTGTGTGTGTTTTGCAGCTGAGGAGATGAATGTAGTAGGAGCCAGTACTCCGTCTGGGGAGAACGAGGACGATCCGGACAACCCCTGGAACCCTGGGACGCTGAAGTTCTACAACAGGGCTGAACTTAAGACCTCAGACCACAGGTAAAATACATATACAGTCAGGTCCATAAATATTTGGATGTAAATACCCTCAAATTAAAGCTGAAAGTTGGCGCATATTGAGTGTTTAATTTCAAGTTAATTGTAGTGGGGTACAGAGCCAAAATTATGAAAATGGTGTCAATGTCCACATATTTATGGACCTGACTGTGTATAACCGTTTCACCTTTAGCAATATCATTTTCTGCATTTCCTTCTTATGTCACATCTAGTCGTGTAAAGTGGAACCAACTAATCACATATCCTCTGAAGTGTGATTAACTCTTTAATTAAACATCACTATCCTCCTGTCCTTCTTTAGGCCCGTGGTGTCGATCATAGACGTGGACATCCTGGAGGTGGACCCCGAGGCGCGGCACCAGGTCTACAAAGAGGTCATCGCCCTGCAGGGGCCCCCAGACGGGACCATCCTGGTGTCACTCTGCGCCTCCGGCCCCGACGATTACTTCAGCGATGAGCTCATAGACGAGCTGCTGGATAAGTTTACTAACTTTGGGGACGTCATCCTCATCAGGTGAGACTTACATCCCGACACAGACAGACACGCATCACCTTCAGACGCTGAGACTGCATTGACCATGTCCTTGTTTATGCAGGTTTGTGGAGGAGAAGATGTGGGTGACTTTCCTGGAAGGTTACTCTGCTCTTGCTGCTCTTTCTCTCAGCGCTTCCACTGTAAGTCATCACTGTGTAACGATCAACTATCAAAAATTTGCTGTGTATAGTCCCCACGGAAGTGTATTTACTTCTGTCTACATCCACACATTCACAAAATAAACAAAGACAGGTTTTATACATTATTCAATTATATTCACAGTTTTCCTGCCAAGCAAAACACAAACAAAAAGTCAGCTCGGCGATATACCGAAATTGTCTTTACTGCCTAATTCAGGCCACGATAGTTCATTGAAAAAAAGGCTGTTGCTCCTGCCAGTGCCGTTTCTTCCTATAGGCGGACTGTGCAGATGCATAGGGCCCCCGCGGCCACTAGCTGAAAGTTCAGGTTCAGCCTCAATATATTTGAGTAGAATTCAAATTAGCCGTCTTTATTTGTAGACAGCCAAGCCCCCTCCTGTATTCGGTGAAGCATTATATGCTTAAAAATCAAATGTAGGATATAAACACAACTAAACTGCAATGATAACAAAGCTGTGGCTTGTGTTTGTAGGGAAAAAGTCCAAATCATGTTTGGGCTGTCACATTGTTGAGAAAATGCTGCATCTCTTGCATTTATTGACATAGAGGAGCCTTATTGTTTACCTTTTTAATATCATTTTTTGTAAGTTCCAATTGCTTGGTTTTCGTGAAATCAGCCTGTTTTCCTCTTAAAGTGTAACAGATTTATGCGTCTCCACAGATCCTCTTAAAGGCTTCGGAATCCCCCCATTGTAGTTAAAAAACTGTAAAAACTAGGCCCCCCAAACAGCATCTTGCATGGGGCCCCCAAAAAGCTAGAAACGGCCCTGGCTCCTGCGCCCACCGGCAGCAAAAAACAGAAATGTTTGTAGGCCTATTTAGGCTATAATCCACAAAAAAGGAAAACACGATGATCGGCGTGGCACAAAGGAGCGATCTCACCCTGTGTTGGAGAGAATCTCTCTATCTGTGCGCGTCCTCTGCCACGGAGACGTGCTTCCAGGTTAGTCGATGCAATATCCACAAACGGTTACTTTCAGTTACCTCCCCCGTTGCATTTGAACATATATACATGCTGAGGAAACTTAAATGTCCTGCTGAATACCCTCATTCGCCACACACACGCTTCCTCCTCCCTGAGACTGCCAAGGCACACCAGGGGATAGGGGTAACAACTCAAATGGTCGAGAGGTAAATAGATGAGGATGCACATCTTATGTAAGCCTTCTCCGCGTTTGGGTGGTCCGTATGTGGAATCTGATCTTTATTGTTGTGAAACATATCATGAGTGTCTGAATATGTCACCCACGTTTTTCATAAATCCACCCGGTTAACACGTTCAAAGAGGGTGAATTTTTCTACTCTCCCCGGACAGTAAAAGTAGGCAATCCGATCATGAGATGTTGATACTCTCTGTTTTACCTCGTTTTTTTTTTACAGCCATCTTATTAGTGCTAACAGACTAAAAATTTCTGAAATAAACGTTTACTACCACCTTTTTAATTCATAAAACAGTGTATTGTTTTAAGTAGAGCTTAATGAAACCAATATAATGCGGAAACAACCCGGTTACTGTCTTCCAGTTGCAAAAGACGATTCAGAAGTGTTCCAAAAGTGTGTGACAAACCGGGGACATAAACCGGGGAAGAGGTACGTCTAGAAGGAGATCTCGGTCACTGACACTAACCCCGAACGGAGCGACCCGGTTGTGCCTGCAAAGTTTGAGGGGAGGTTTCTAAAAAAGAATACCCCAACTCTAGACCTCTGACCGAATCCGGGTGAGGTCCTGGAACTTTACGAAGAAATGCTTCGGTGAGGAAGCAACGGGGCCCGGCCACACAAACCCTAGTAACGGCTACGACTTTCTGGGTCGGTGCAAAGTAGAAGTTACGGGAACGACTACCCTTCTCCAAAGTGAGTTTTAGAGTGCGTATGTACCCGGGGTAAAGTAAGAAAAGGAGGATGTCCTCAGTTCAGCAGGACCAGGGAAAACGTCTTTTTGTTCGGGGTTTCGTACTACAAGAGGTGGGGGTACAAGTGTCCATCCCATACCACAAGAAACCTACGTTGAGTCGTAAGAAGAGAAGGTTTGTTCAAGATCAACTCAAAATGGTTTTCAATATAAACCAAAGTAGACCTGGTATACTGTAGAGGTTAGGAGAAGACCTAGTGATTACGAGGAGATCGTTTGAAGTCTGCCCGGACCCTGTACATGACCGAATGTCGTCCCCCCTGTGCAGACCGTTACGTCTACTAACTCAGGGACGCGCATCACACAATGGACCACCTCGAAACAACGAAACAGGGTCGAGAGACGTCCACAGTAAATGATCAGGGCCACCAAAGACCTAAAAACGAGTGGCAAGAACACTAGTAAACTGGGGTGCCCACTTAGAACGCACCTCGGGGTCTAGCTCCCCCTCTAATAGTCACCAGAACATACAGAAGGTAAAAGATTACTAACGAGGGTGTCAACTAAAGAAGTGTGTTCGACGAATGGATAACGTCTAAGGGTCAGAAGGTGGACCACGTCCAGATGGTAAAACAAAGACCAGAAACTGTCGAGAAAACCAGAACCGGATCACCCTCAAACCTCACGACTGACAAACTCCAACACCTGTCCACAGAACATATGATATTGCGCAAAGTTTGTCCACGGTCAATTGTCAATTGTTACCTCCTGTCTCCTCCCGAGAGATTTCCTCTCCGAATGTCCAGACACTCTGGTCTTTAGAACAAAACAAACAAATCAACTGGTTTCATGAATAAAATGGCTCCTTCAAATGTTTATTAAAGTACTTTAGGCATGTCTACACTAAGGACCAGCAAAGGGGGGTAAGACAGAGAGTATAACTCACATGGGAATCCTACTATTTTAATGTCCGGGAGAGAGTTAGAAAAATTCACCCATCTTCTGAACGTGGTTAACCACCGACTGATAGTTAATGAAACAACGGGGTGACATATAGGTGATTGTAGTCTTTACTGTCCCCCTGCACTTTAAATCTGTACTGAGTCGTTGGTGAACCGATAAGATGTGTAGTTTAACTATAAGAGGCAAATAAAACCCACCTATCGAAAACCCTTGTAAATTAAATTATTCAATCATGCGAATTGACTTGGGTCATTCAAGGGTAGTCCACGTAGGTCAGTCCAAATTCCTCTCCGAAGTTCAGTAGACCTACCAGGTCACTTACATAATCTGAAAACACAGTTCGTAGTTGTTAGTAGACGTCGTGATGCAAACAGAACAAGTTTGACTTTGCCTCGTAACGTTGACCTGCTCGAAGGCATTTAGTCTGATTAACGCGTTACACCGAAGACACTCGCAGTCTACCTTCATCGTCGGCGCGATCCCAACTTACGAAGTCGTTACACTCGTGTATTCGTGTGTCAGAGTGAGATTAGTAAATGGAGGGTCTCACGGAAGAAATTGACGTTCTCCCGAGTACGGAGGAAGTCCACACTACCTTTCGTCACCCTGTTTCAACTTTTACAATTGTGGAACGAATTCGAAGAATACTGTACAATTGTGCCACTATTCAATTTATAGGTGTGAACGTAACCTCGCTAAAATACAAAAGAAACTGCTTCTCGTACGAAAACATTAATTGTCCTTCCCAACTTGGAATGGACTCAAAGAACTCCCCCACGAACCACGAGCGGCCCGGCTCCCCGCCACCGCAAACCCGAGGTACTCACATCCCCGTGGCCGACCTATAGTTGTCCTCGGCGACCTTCTAAATTTCAAGTTACTTTTCCGCCAAATTGACTCCGTCTCAAAGTGGTTACACGTTAACAAAGGTCTTATAAAAACTGACCAAATGTTTTATTATGACATAAAATTTAAAACAAATATATTTTAAACTAAGAAACAATAGAAATAAACAAAATGGAACACAACTTAGCGACCAAAAAAGTGAGACTGGACACCGACCGATAATTTGCGGAACTAAAGGGTTGCGCCCCCTATTCAAATTCTCACATGCGTATAGTACGAATAACTATTATATCACCATGCCTGGTATGCGATATATTTTCCAGTATAAATATGAAAAATCAAAAGGTTTTATGGTTTGTCTAGTACGCTAAAATCGGGTAAGGAGTAAAGAGAGCTTCAAATTGTGAAAGAAACTACCGACTCAATACACCTCTTGTCGGGTAGATAGTCCCGGACCTATCATGATGTCGCAGGGCGCGAAAGCTTGCCCGTTACAGGCACCGACAGAGGAGAAGGACTAACCACTCAACCGGTTATCGGCATCGCGGTGAAGACACTGCAAGTATCTTCACAAGTTTAGCCCTAGTCAGACATCAGTTAGGCAACGTCGGGGAACAATCTCCTACAACCCATACCTCCTTTTATCTTCCCAACACCAAAAGACCGTGAACCCTCAAGCGGACCTTGTGGCCTGTGTACTAACGACATATTTCTGCATGTTTCCGTACACGTACTATCCAGTGGAATCTCAGGTCAGAATAGACATATACAGTGTGTTATGTTTGGTTGTTAACAAAAGGTGGTTAAATGCATTTAACTTTTTCCACTCTCCTCAGAACCACTGAATTTTCATTTCCAATATTAGCTGTATTAAAGGAACACTCGCAGTGTGCACCAGTTAGTGTGCACATCTTAGGTTCCGGAATCTTATCTTCACAGTTGTACGTCTGTGCGTCGCTGTGTCACTTTCACCAACGGACGACCAAATTGGCGTACAGGATCCATCGCGTCTCAGACTACTCGATCCTCGCACTTCGATAACATGTCCGGGCCCCTGTCACCCACAGCGACAGGTTGTCGGTGCCGTCCTGGGTCTCCATCTGACTGGACGGGGTTATCGTCAGTGTGAGTATAAATAGACCAAGTCCCGAACTTTGGCCGCCTGGGATGCCGAGGGTCAGGTTCGGACGACTGACTTCGGTGACGGAACAAACGACCATCAGCATTTCTGTTTGTTGCGTGTGTGTGCAAAAAATTTCTCGGTGATGTATTGGATAAAAGTTTTCCTTTGACATTCTGTGTGATGTTCGGGGAGATTGTGATGGTGTCAATTTATTAGTGTGCAACTTGACATGACCTTTGATAGGGATTACTCAACCGAATTTAGACAAGTCAGCAATATTTTGTTTGTCTTAAACCAAATATAAGGTCGTCCGCTGTGACCCTCGGAGTCGACTAACAAGTTGACACAAATCGTTGTGCTATGGTCCACAACAGTACGACGTGTAGATTTTAAGTGGGACCAACCAGCCTCCCAAGGAGGTGCTGCAGCCGGAACGACCCGCCCTCCAAGAGGCCACCCACCCCCTCCCTGTCTGACGGCGCGGCCCTCCCCTCTCCTCTCCTGGGTCCCCGCCTGGGACGAGGTCCGACTTCTCACGACGCACTTCCTAGAGGAGGTTGAGTAGCAGGTGTTAGTGGACCCTTCTGCCCGTCCTTAATAGTTAGGTACGGGCGACTAGAAGAAAGAAACATGAAGGGGGGGTGGGGTTGGGAGGGAATATAACATTTCGTCAAACTATCAGGGTCTTTTCGCGATATGATCGTATATTACATAATGTCACCACCCTCATCACCTCATGTTTATGAAGCAATGACATGAATCATGTAAAAAGACCATAGTCATGAAATGAGGTGATGAATACAAAAGACTGCTGAACCATGAAATTAAAGAATGTAAAAACTTGTGCTTATGGACAATGAACAGATTAAGAATGTAAAGGTTGTCCGAACAAGGAAATCAAACTTAAACACAAAGCCACCGCACCTACGAATAATAATAAAGTCAGTAACGCAGGATAACGAAACTTGTGCTAGCACATAGGTAGTAAAGAAGCACAGAAGAGATTTCTTCTCCGGGCGGCGCTCCTTTCACTTTTGGCCACAGTACAACGGAACAAGTCGTAGCTTTGTAAGTAATCTTGTTCTGGTAATACAATTATACTTCCTCCCAGTCCATGAGGACTTTTGTGACGAATCAATATGAAAATGGCTCATGTAAAGTTTTCGGGGTGGTGAGAAAATGGAGAATGAACTCATTTCTCTTCAAATCAGTCCATGAAGGCCATGAAAATGGTCTCATAGAAACCCTTTGTGCTCATAGCATGAAGATGAAACTCAATTCTCTCACAAATGAAGGTAAGGCCTACACAGTAATAGTAATAACTACATGAACTTGCCATCATGCAGCAATTCATCTTAGGTGTCAAAGACTTCATTTACTAAGCCATAACAAATCGTAGCGGGGAGTGGTAAGGTGATAGCATTGGAGTAGCCGGCTAGGCACACAAGTCCTCGTCGCACCTCGAGCGACTCCTACAAGGTGTCTAGGAGAGCGTGCGACGTAGAGCAGGTTCTAAGAACTAGGTCGGACCTCGCGCTTCTCGCTACGAGGCTAGTAGAACGGCTCCTGGACTGGTATATTGGCTGCTTCTACTTTCTTCATCTCAACCTAATCGTAACTAGTCCCTCGTAATTTTGTTAGCACAACAAGCCAAATTTACTATTTCTAACTATGTGTAAAGATATCTGATTCTGATTTTATTAGTTTCGTATGGTGTGTAACTAAGTCCAAAGACGTCGCACATTCATTCATCTCAATGAATATTTCGCGAAAAGTGTCTGTTTCAGTGTCTGACTCGTTTTGTTATTTTTGTAGTAGTATCTTAGCATGTTACTATTTACTTGTGTGCACAATTTGTTTCGTGGTTTTTGTATTATTTTTGTGTTACTTTGATTTATTTTGCATCATATTCTTATCTTATTTTAGTTCGTGTGGCCAATGGGTTTACGGACGGGTTTGTCCTTACAGAAATTTAATGCGAAATTCCAGTCGTACTGGCATCTACTCGCCCGTCTCGCAAGGTATCGAATCCTCGGTCGCCGAAGCCTCGCGAGCCAGTGGCCCCAGGAATTCCACGCATGCCCCCTGTCCTGTACATTTAACATAACCGTCCCCTTTTCCAAATTTCCGTACACAAATATAGTACTTACTTTACTTGATACCGTCACGTATAAATAGGAGCGTTGACCGTTAAACAAGTTACAGGTGACAATACATGGAGCGCCGCGCGGGTCTCGAAAAAATCACCCGCGCAGT